CGGGGCCGGGGCGGGGCGCGGGTCCCTCACACCTGAGGGGGCGCGGGGCACCTCCATCTTGGGCATCCCTTCCTTCCCCCGCTTTCGCTCCGTGCTTCGCTCCCTCCCTCCCGCCGCCCCGGTTMAATCCATGGTGGAATCGCATCGTGCCACCGCTCAGGGGCTCCTGGACCGACCCGGCGACTGACACGGCCCTGAGCCTCCCCAGCAGCGCCTGTGCCCTCCCCCGGCCGGGGACTGTCGAGCGCTCCCCGGGGCACTCGCAGAGCTGCCCCCCCCCCCGACAAGGGCGGCGTTTTAAATAGCCGCATTATTTTAGCCCGGCAGTGCCCCTCTAAATAGACGGTTTCAGCGAGTTCCCAAACTGGAGACAAGGATATTATTTTACACTCGAGAATKGTCCTGTTGAACTCGTTAAATTTACAGTTCACAAGTTCACGAAGGCGGGCGCTTGGATGCGATCACTCAAAGGGAAGCTCTGGGTGACACCATTTGGAGAAGAGTCGGGAACGGGGCTTATTCCAAGTAAACCTTTTTGCTCAACATATCTCTCACAGTGCTCTCCTTGCCTTTCACGTCTTGCCATTCGTTTGATGCACGGCGTCAGAAGTGGTTTTAATGTAATTTTGAGACTTCTATGGGCTGTRCTCAGTATTGCTCAAAATTAATCCAACTATACCCTTTAACATGTAGTAAATATGATTAACTGTTGCTGCTGAATTTGCCTTTGCATCAGCTGCTGTAGGAATAGCATTCGTGCATTGCAAGGTGGTGACTTTTGTAGTTGTTAACTATTATGCATTTCAGGGAACAGTTCTCAAGGTGAACTCCACGGTGATAACTTAATAGTGCAAAACACAATGCCTAAGATGAGCAAATAGCCCTTACGCTGCATCTCTGCAGAAACCACATTACAACTCTGGCAAGTTAAATCTGAGCATCTGACCTTCTGAAAACAACATTTGAGATTAATAACAGATTCTATTGATGATATAGCACATGCATATAAATATCCAAGGGTTAAACAGTAAGTCAGACACTACTGCTTCAGCTTTGAAAATATGCAAACTCCTATCCATCTCAGGCCAGGATATTAACATTTGAGACCAGAATATGCAAAGAAGATTTGATGAATGTGAGGAAAATCCATTTTATATAGAGAGGGAAGTGCTCCAACGTTCTTTACTTTYATTTGTTTGCTAACATTTTCTTTTTTGCTATACAACTCCCATGTTCCCAACTGATTTATTTAATTATGAAAACACTACTGTCTAAGTAAATATGCATCAGTGTACACACAGGTGGCTTTAAAATGCTAGGATATTGCCTGAATTTTCTTCCATGATACTGTATACCATCAGGAGATCATGTAGCCACTCCTGGCTTCAAGAAAATATCGGTATAAAATACAGAGAGAAAACTGTCTGAGAAATCCTCTTTGTGTTTGCACCCCTGACGGATTCCCAGGGGAACATGATAAGCCAAACCTTCAGGAGGTGGACTATAGAACTGGAGGACACTTGARGGGTAAGATTTGAGTTGAAAGTTTAACTTTCGTTAAAATGTAGGATCAAAGATCTGGTTAATATTTGGATACCATACTTTATAAGCACAAACCAGTGGGTTGTGGCAAACAACTTGGTGGAAATTAGACCACAAAAATTAAGTAAATGAAGAAATTTCACTGTTGCAGGGAGGGTGTAATACTCTATCCTGATGTAATAAACAACTCTACTGATGTATGATGAAGCTGAAGTGTTGCAGCTGGTATGATTACACCCTTATGACTCCCCTGAGAATTAAACTCCGTATTTTTTTATATTACTGAGATAAACAGATACACACACTCAATAGCACAAAGCAGATCTTTGCAAATTGTGGCATACATATAATTATCAGTAAATAAGTAAATTCAAAGGTTTATACAGCTAGGAGCTTCTGCTGGTGATAGCATCTGCTAGTCTGGATCAGTGCTACCCTTGCTGACAGTAGGATGTTGGCAGCAAGCAAGAAGAGGCAGGTGAGCTTGGTGGCATAGACAACAACAGCCATTGTGATAAGCAGAAGTGGTGCGACTGAAGGAATATTAGCTTTAGAGTTCTTCTCCTCTGCCTTGCATCTTTTCTGTAGTCATCACACTGCTTTTTGTAGCCTTTCTTCTCACTTTGCCTGCTGCAATTATATCCATGGATGGTAGTCCCAAATATAGTGTCTTAGTCTTCATGTTCCTTTATTACCAGTCTTGGTTTACTTTGCTTTCATCTACTGCTTTCTTCTATATTGATCTGTTGGGGCTTTCGGTAGTTAAAAGAAGCATTGATTAGGTGCACAACACATTTATTTGAGATACAACACTGATTCATGATTGCAGTATTGTGACAAAGGCAAAAAAAACTGTCAAAAAAGTTGTGATGGGTATCAGTTGTGGTCTGGATCATGAAAAGTGTTCTTAGGAAGAGGTTACAAATAAAATACTCAAGAGACCTGATACATTGGAAAAGGCTAGTGTTAGCTGAAAATAATTCTTTGACATTTTGTTCTTAAAGAGGACATTTTAAAGGGATGTGGAAAGACATCTTTGGTTGTTCATCTCACCTAACTTTAGATGTCTACTATGTGAATGTCTGCATCTGAGCTAGTCACTCTCCACTGAGCATAAAGGGAACCAGAAATAGGCACTTCTGGCATATGATTCATCTAACCTATTTTAGATATGTACATTAGAATAAGCCAAATTGCATCCTAGAAATGCCTGTTTATCTGCGTTGACTGTAACAGGACCAGCGGGTGTCTCATTCAGCTGTAAATGTCTACATTGTAAGAGTCTGTATTTACTCAGCTGAATGCCATCCATGTGATTCTGACATGAGTTATCCCACTGTCCTACTGTTCCACTTGTTTTGAACACAGCACAGTGTAGTCTGCAAAGTACTTAGCACAAAGTAAAATGGTGAGGTATATTCCGCTGAATATATTGGAAGTCAATAAAATTTAGACTAATCATCTTCAGTGGATTAGGGGAGCTCCCAATCAACAACTGAACCACTTTTGAGATTAATTTTAATGTAGTTTATTTATGGGCACTTCATATTTCTTTTAGATATTTTTTTATACCATAGTAACAAAGTAAATGCACTTAACGGCTGGACTAATAYTTTTCAGAAGCTAGTATTTATTTAGTATAGCAGCATAAAATGAGAGTATGTCTAAGCAGAAAAAAGACCAAAGACAAGATCAAAAGCTTAAGTGATAATGTCTAATGTTAAAAGCTGCACTGCTTGGTATATAGTAACAAWTCAGCTTTCACAGAGCACCAAACAGAGGATGTGTTTTGATGTAAAATATGTTGAGAATGAGGGTAGCAAGAGGATGGGACAGGAAAGACATTGCACAGAAGTRTTGTGATGTGCTGTCAAGAATTGAAAAATAATACTTAATTTAAGGCTTCAGAGTTATTCTCTCTAAAGACAATTTGTGACTCAATTAGGTACTTTCATTCCCTATGCATAACCTGTCACCTAGATTTCCCTTACAAAAAATCAGAGTTCTCCTGGAGCCCAAGAAGGCTAGCAGAGTAAGCAAAGAGCCAGTTGGAGACAGCCACATGGAAATACCATGGTTTTAATCCTGCTTCTTTAGGACTTTAGATATTCAAAGCTGGTGGCAATTATGCCAGGGATTCACAGGGCAGAAACTTCCTTCAGGAATTAGATGTGTGAATGAAAAATGAATCCTATTCTTTGAGAAGCAGGTGGAGAGGACTGTAGATGCTGTCACCTGTCCCATCTTCCATTAGCTTGACCATTAGAGTGCTGATAAAGAAAGCAGGAACTCTGGGTTTAGTTGTTTCCTTCACTTAATGAACTTCAACTTCTCAGGGCACAAACCTTAAAAAAAAACTTCTGAGGATGAAGATACAGCATTCAATCCATCCTTACAGAATAGTAAAACACTGAGAGGAAGTAAGATTACACGCATAAAATACACCTTCACATAAGCAAGAAAAGTGTAATTGATGTATTTGACTATGTATGGGGAAACTTGAAATTTAACCCTATGTCTGCATGTGTCACTGCTTTTTTTTGGTGGTGTTTTTTTTTGTTGTTGTTAGATTTGTAACTAGCCTCCCTTGCCCCAATAGCTTGAGTTTCTAGATTATCTCTTGACTAATGATTAGAGCATTCTCTCATCTGTCTACAAATATTTAATAATTCCATGGAAAGTGAAATACCTTCAGAAGGAGAGATGAAAGAACCATTATAATTTGGAATACTCCATTTCTTAGCTGATAGTTAAAAAAAGGCTGGAAAAGGACTTAAGCATATGTCAAATACTCTGGACAATTCTAATCACAGGAAGACGGTACTATGAGGTTGGTTTAGTGTCAAGTTTAATCAATCGGGTGGATGTGCTCTGAGAATGCTAAAGAGATCAAATTTTTCAGGTAAAAGGGAGAGATGAACTTTTTAAAACATTTGCAGATACCATTACATGCAGACAATAGTACTTTTGTCCATGCTCAGAAGGTGATCTCAAGGGATGTAAAGGACTATTGGAACTTCTCAGAAGCTTGAGAGAGAAAGGATTATAAAATTTGTATTTAATACAATCCCTGTCATATTACAGAAACTACATCTATTTTTGAGAGCTGTGTTCAACATGGTGAAAYGGCTAAAGTCAATGGAAATTTGATATTCATTTCAACAGGAATAATGTTTTATCTAGTATGTAAATAAAGGAAGTCCTTCATACACAGTGGATTAAACTGTCTGCG